CCTCGCCTCCTCCTGGCGCTCGGGGCGCAAGTGGACGCCCCAGACAATGCCGGAATCACAGCACTTGGTCTGGCGGCCAGCCTGGGCCGTCAGCAGGTACGTTCCTTCATCTCTGGCAGATACTGGACCCTTTGTGAGGAAAGCCACCCAGCAGGGCTGGGCCCACCCCACCCCACCCCACCCCAGCAGTGGCCGGGTGATGCCTCTGCAGAGCGGGAGCCCAGCATCAATCAGACGAGGAGTCTTGGCCTCCATCGGCAGGTGGAGGGAGGCTGGAGGGAGAGGTGTGTGGGGAAGGGGTCAGGAGGACCTGAGCACATTGGGCTTTAGCTGTGCCTGTCCTGTTCATAACCGCGCGATCTCACGGAAACCCAGGCATGGCAGCTTCATTCTGGTAGCTGGCAGCAACAAATTTATTGTGTCTGGGTCTATTTAGCCCCAGGCAGAACAGAGGAGCAGCAGGCTGCAGGATTTGAGGACCATTAGGGATAAAAGTGGAAGTTTCCGAGCAGAGCCCCTGCAGGGGTGTCACCCATGGAAGCAGTGCTGGGAACCTCCCTTCCCCTTCCAGGACATTGAAGTACTGCTGGATCATGGGGCTGATCCCACCATCAGGGACAGGCATGGCCGCTCTGCGCTCCACAGGGCTGCTGCTGGTGGACACCTGTGCGCTGTCCAACTACTGGTAGCTCGGGGATCTGAGGTGGCTGCTCAGGACTCACTGGGCTTCACACCCCTGCACCACGCAGCTCGAGGAGGCCATGTGGAGGTCACCAGCCATCTCTTGGATAGAGGCGCGCAGGTCAACGCTGTTGGCTGGCTCCACAAGACACCCCTGCACCTTGCTGCAGAGCATGACCATCGCCCTGCTGTGGAGCTTTTGCTGAGCCATGGGGCCAACCCGACCCTGAGGACCCAGTGGGGTGAGATGACCCAGATGTCCAAGGAGGACCTGCCCGAGGTGCTGACTGCCTTTGAAGGGAGGAGGACTGCTAAGAGCACACAGCCCTGTGGCCTCTGAGCTTGCTGAGGTGAGGCTGAGCCTCCATGGCCATAGCAGTTAAGAAGGCACACAGTTTCACAGCTCAGAGCTTCCTGGGCTCCTCTCTTCTGGGCTGACGCTGCCTGTCTAGATGGAGGGTCGGTAGCTGAGAAGCTCCTGGAGAAGGAGGGAGAGGAGGAGGCGGAGGACAGGGAGTCAATGACTTCAGCCTCAGTCATGGGCCAGTGACTCCTGGGATGGCCCCCCTGGCTCCTGAGAGTGCCAGTCACACCTGCAGCTCCGCCTTCTCCACTGCTTTTGGCAAAGACAAAGTCATAGCAACAGATTTGACCAGAACCTGGCAGTCTCCCCTTTGTCCATCATGGGGACATGTCCCGCTCAGCTGCTCTCTATACACGAGGGGGTTCTGTGGGGTTTTTTTTAGATTTTCTATTTGTCAATTTGGTGTCCATTATTTACAGGACCAAAGTAATGGCTACGGTCATTTGTATCTTTCCTTCTATCCAGAGCAAGTACATTGCTAGACTCCCACATGGCCAACCACGGTTCAAGTCCCATTCCTGGTGACTTGAAACACACTGGGTGCATGTGCATGTGGGTCCAAAATCCCAGGAAGAGAAGAGAGGAGAAGGGACTGTGGTGTGTGGGAGCATTATTTTCCCTCTCACTGTCTGTCTGTCTCTCTGGTGAGTGTAGGAGCCTTAAGGCAAAAACCTCTATAAAAAAAATCCCATGGGTATAATAAAAACAGGGTAATCCCTGACTCCCCCCACCTCTGTATCTTCATGGAAAAAAAATTGTCATTACTTGTTTCAAAAGCATAGGATTTAAAAAAAATTTTTTTTTACTTAGCTTTATTTATTTACTTATTTATTTTTAATTTGACCAGAGACAGACAGAAAGAGAGACGGAGGGAAAGGGAGAAAGCAACCCGCCAGGTCCAGGACTCAAACCATGGCCAGCCATGTGGGAGTCCAGCACCCTTAACCACTACACCACCTGCCAACCCCAAAAGCATAGATTTTTTGTTTGTTTGTTTAATTTTGCCAGAGGGCGCAAGCACTCACCAGACAGAGACAGAGGGAAAGTGAGGAGTCATCCTCTACACCAGCATGGGGGATGGCCACGCTGCCACAATCTTTTATTTTCCTCTCGGGATTTAGGGCATGTTCACCCACCCACCAGTGTTTTTTTCACACCACCTGCTAGCCAGCATAAAGCAGTTCTAAAAACAAAACAAAACAAAAATTCCAAGACCAGCCTGTGGAGTGGTGATTAAGGCAGCTGGATCCCACATAGCCGACCTTTCAGTTTAAGTCCCAGATGTGGCAGCTTGAGAAACATGCCAGACATGTGTGTATGCATGCCCCCAAATCCCCAAATGAGGGCGAAGCCAATGGCATGGAGGTTAAAGTGGCTGGATCCCACATGGCCAACTGTGCAATCGGGAGTCCCAGACCTAGCAGCTTGAAAATCACACCAAGTGGGTGTGTATGTGTGACCAAATTCCCTGGAGGAGAATGGAGGAGAAAGGATTGTAGAGTGGCCACCCCCCCACCCCGGGGGGTGATTTCTCACTTTTTCTCTCTCTGTCTTTCTGGAGAGCACAAGCACTCTATAGCAAACAAACAAAACAATACAAATAGAAAAACGCTTTACAGATCAGATTTCAACTTTCAAAAGCAAGAGTTGGCATGCCAGATTAGTACCTCTGCTACAAAGGCCAAGGAAGCAGTTTGATTTTACTTCCAGGGCAAATGGAAGCCTTCGAGGAGTCGGGGGAGTGTGTGCCCTGCAGAGCCCTGGAGAAGGGGGGAGCAGGAGACAGTCTGTGACAGGTGGAGGTGGGAGAAGTGGGCAGAGCCTCTGGACTTGCCAGTGGGTTGGATGTCAAGGGAGAGCTACAGAAGAAACGGTACTTCCTAGTTAGGCGTGGCACTAAGGTGGACGGGGGTGACGCACACTTCATTCCGAGGAGCGCAGATGCAGGAGAAAATGAGGAAGAGGTGGTAGCTGGGATGACATCTTTGGAGTCCTCGGAGTGGGATGGTGTTAGAGGCACAGAAGGGACCCATGAGCCCAGCTGGCCAGCACACCGTAGGCTCTACGCCAGGAGCACCCCCAGAGCTTGGCTGCTTCTCCCCAGCATGTTCCACAGCCCGGCCAGCCCAAGCACAACTGGTCTTCCTGTTTCAGCCCCACTCCCCTCTTCCTCTCCCCACTGCTCATTCTCAAAGCAGAGATCTGTAATCTGATTTAATCAGGTAAACAATATTTCTCTCCTGCTCAAAAGCACTCCTCCTATGACTCCCTTTTCTCAGAGTAAAAACTCATGTGGTACAGTGTTACACATGCCCTAACCTACCGCCCACCCCATGTACCCTTTCACAAAGTGATTTTGGGTCCCTTTTGTTCAGAAGTAAAGTCTGTGTCTCCTCTCCCGGCATTGGGTAGGCTTTCGTTACTGTATAGAGCACCAGGGGACACCTGAAATGCTGCTGAATGACTTTCGAGGCTGGCCCGGAAAGGTGATGCAGATGTTACCTTGCCTTGCTGGAAGACCCTCAGTACCTTCAGTTGCCCCCCAGAAGATGGTTACCTACTGTCTGTGGCTGCCATGCTATGAAGAGGCCTGGGCAGGCCATCAAGAGAGACCACGTGGAGGAACCAGCAGGTGGTGTGTTGGTCAAGACACTGAACTCCCACGCCAGTTCAAATCCCAGACTTGGCAGCTTGAAAATCATGCTGGGCATGTGTGCATGTATGCCCAAAATCCTAGGAGGAGAATGGAGGAGAAGGGATTGCAGCATGGCCATCCCCTGGGGGATCATTTCTCATTTTCCATCTCACCATCTCTCTCTGTCTCTCTCCGGTGACTGCAAGCACCTTACGGCAAAAACCTTCAAAAAAAATAAGATGTGGGCCAGCAGATGGCGTGGTGGTTGAGGGCATTGTACTCTCACATGGCCAATCACGGTTCGAGTCTTGGACGTGGCAGCTTACTTTTTCACTTTCCCTCTCTCTCTCGCTCTGCCCCTCTCTGGTCAAATTTAAATAAGTAAACAAATAAATAAAGTCAAAATAAAATAATTACTTAAAAAAGAAGATGTGACCACATGGAGAGATTCTGAGACTACAGGAAAAGAGAGGTGTCCAAGATCCCTCTTCCTCACGAGTCCAGCCCCATCCACCACTGAAAGCAACAGCATGAGACCCTGAGCCAGAACTGCCCACTTTCCAAATTTCAGACCCACACGATTGTGAGAAAAATAAAACAGCTGTTTCAAATCACTAAATTTGGAGGTAATTTGCTAGCAGATGGCAACAGGAATATCAAATCCTTACAGTGACTTTCAAGGCCCCACAGTCCTCCCCTCGTTAGGTCTCAGCCTACTACTTGTTCACTCAAATGCAGGGGCCTGGCTCGGGATGCTCACTGTACTCCATGGTATTTTTGCTGTTCCTCGACCACACCAGGCACACCCCTGCCTCAGGCCTTTGCACTTGCTGGTCCATCTGCTTGGCATACTCTTTCCTCAGATATCTGCCTCAGATATTATCAGTAACTTCCTTTACTACTCAAAAACACCTTCTCAGTGAAGACATACTGACACTATTTAAAACCACACTCTTGAGGGACCAGCAAGTGGCGTGGTGGTTAAGTGCTATACACTCTCACATGGCCAACCATGGTTTGAGTCCTGGACTGGTGGCTTGCTTTCTCATGTATTCTCTCTCTCTTTCTCTCTGTGTCTCCCTCTGGCCAAATTAAAAATAAATAAATTAAAAATGAATCAATAAATAAAGTTAAATAGATAATTCTTTAAAAAAATACTCTTGAAAAGGCAAAACTCTCTTTTTTTTTTTAAGACAGATTTTTGCTATAGGGTACATATAGCAGAGACACAGACAGAAAACAAATCACCCCCAGGGGGGATGGCCACGTCACTGTTCCTTCTCCATTCTCCTCTTGGGATCTTAGGTATGCACCCACATACTCCTGGAGTTTTGTTATTTTTTTAAATAATTATTCCATTTAATTTTATTTATTCATTCATTTACTTTTCATTTGACCAGAGAGAGACATAGAGAGAGGAAAAGTGAGAAAGCAAGCCACCAGGTCTGGGACTTGAACCATGGTCGGCCATGTGGGAGTGTCCAGCACCTTAACCACCACGCCATCTGCTGGTCCCCTGGAGTGCGTTTTAAGCCACCAGGTCTGGGACTTGAACCACAGTCAACTATGTGGGAGTCCAGCAATGTAACCATTACGCATCTGCTGGTCCCAAAAACTCTTTAAGTAAAGGTCAAATAAATATAGAGAGGAGGTAGAGTAAGAAAATCACCAATGGGGCACCTACAGATGGTGTAATGGTTACGTCACTGGACTCCCACATGACTGAATGCAGTCTGAGTCCCAGACCCAGGGGCTTTAAACTCACGTGGGGTGTGTGTGCATGCATGTCCAAAATCCTAAGAGTGAATGGAAGAGAAGGGATTGCGGTGTGGCTACCACCCCACCCCCACCCCCCGTGGGTGAGTTCTCACTTTCTGTCCCTCTGTCTCTCTAGGGAGTGCATGTGTACTATGTCGAAAAAATCTCCCTCTCGAAAAAAAAAAAAGAAGAAGAAAATCACCAATGGGTTCTTCAATCAGTGAATGCAAATTTGATGAGGAACAGGATATTTATGTCACCTCAATGTGCAGTGGCCATGAGGTGCCATTCAGATCTCCATTCAAGAAGGCACCTGCCAGGGGCCAGATGGTGGCATATTGGTAAAATGTGACTGTGTGAGGGACTGGCAGGTGGCATGTGGTTAAGGCACTGGACTTCCACATGGCTGACCATGGGTCAAGTCCCAGACCTGGTGGTTTGCTTTTCTCACTTTCCCTCTCTCTCTCTCATCAAATTGAATAATAAAAAATAAAATTAAATAATTCTAAAAGAAATCGTGATGCTGTGAAAGACAATTCCACATAGGAATTAAAATGATATTTAGCATATTCATACATGATGCAACCATCTCCACTAGCTAGTTCCAGAAACCTCACACTAGTAACACTCCCTGCTCACCCTCTCTCCACTCCACACTCCCCACTGACAGTCATTCCCTATCTGCTCTCTTTTCACACACCTAGTAACAGTCGTTTCCTGTCCACCCTCTCTCCAGCCTCTGGCAGCAGCCACCGTTTGTTTTCTGTCTATGGACTTCCCTGTTTTGGACACTTCCTTTTATTTTAATTGAAAATTTAATTTGTATTATTATTATTATTATTATTTAATCTGACCAGAGAACAGAGAGAAAAGGAAAGCAAGAAATCAAGACACCAGGTCTGGGACCCACGCTGGACCCAGCCATGCGAGAGTTCAGTGCCCTAGCCACCCTGCCACCTGCTGGCCCTATGTTCTAGACACTTCATATCAATTAAACAATATGTGACTTTTGGGGTATGGCTTCCTTCACTCAGCACAATGTCTTCAAGGTTCATCCACGTAGTAGCAGGTGTCAGTGCTCCATTCCTTTTGCTATTGGTGTTGGTTTTTAGAAAATCCTTCAATGAGGTGTGGTCACACTGCAACCCTTTTTCCTCCATTTCTTCTTCTTGTCGGGATCTTGGGCAGGCACACAGGATCTTGGGCACGCGCACACAATAATGGAGCACCCCATATGGTATCCACACTGCCAGTACTGAGATTCATATTCCACCGCATTATGGATTCACATTTTTTGCCCATTCCCCTGTTTTATTTTCACCTTTTATTTATTTTTGAGAGGTTTTGCTATAGGGCGCGCGTGTGCTCGCCAGAGAGACAGCGAGAAATCACCCCCTAGGGATGGCCACGCTGCAATCCCTTCTCCATTCTCCTCTCGGGATCTTGGACACGAACTCACGAAGCAGCTAGGTCAGGGACTCGAACCGAGGTCAACTAGATAGGAATCCAGCAACATAGCCATTACGCCATCTGCTAGTCCTATTTTCACCTTTTCTGTGGCAGCGTCACTGTAGTAGGCTACACGCGTCAGTTCAGCAGCCCCAGCCCCAGCCCCAGCCCCG